CTGTTAAAACAGCATCTTGATCATTGATGATAATCTCTGTATATAGAAGAAGATTATATCAATCATTTTATAAGTAATTGTAGAACTTATAAAGATAATTCTTCACAGTCTGAATTATTTATTCTGATATATTATCAGTCTCAGAATGATAAGCAGTTGATATGTAATATATAATCTTGAGAACTTGACAGATTCTTGTTCAAAGAGTGCTTAAAAATTAACAGTCTTAGTCAGATACTATAGATCTCAGTAAGTTATATATCTGATATAATAGACTTTATAAGAAAGCTTCAGTGATCTGTTCAGTATTCATCTTATTATAAGATTTTAATATAACATCTTTACTTAGTCAGTCAACAATAACTAGAACATTTTTATAATTCTTACTCTTGAGAAAATTAACAGCAAAGTTAATTACTACATCTTATCAGATTCTATCAGAGATATTAAGTAGTTTTAGTAGATCTTTTCTATAATTCTTTCATGAGATGATAGAGAAATAACAGTTACAGTTTCAAATAAAGTATCTCATACTGTTCAATATCTCAGACTAGTAGAATTCTCAAGAGATTATTTAATATAGTTGCTTATAATCTGAATAATCAGTTATACACAAATCATACATCTCTTGCATTATTCAAGTACATAAGAGTTCAGACTCAGAGACTCAACATTATTCACAGAATTACAGAGTATTATTATCATTAATTGAATATTCTGAGATATCAGTCTTTATAAATAGTTCTGAAGAGAATCAAGAAGCTTCTTATTATACTGCTTTAGACTGACCGCTGAGATCATGAATTTCACGTTTGGTCTCATTTGATCTGGTCTTATACATTTCTTGATGTGAATCCCACTGGGACTGGCTATTAAAAAAACATGTAAAGTGACTATATATCAGATCTTAAAATGAAACTATGACTTGAAAAAAATGAGAAAGTGATCTCATTTAATCCCATTTAATCTCATTCTTGGCATAAAGTTACTATTTTTAGACATTTTGAGGTTTTTTTAGACTATTGTTAATTTTTTAAAAAGTAACGCTTTTTAGTAACACTCAAATGAGATTTAAAGTTATTTAAAGCAATAAAAATAATTTAAATTGAGAAGTGAAAATCATGGTCTCATTTGAAAAATGTGACAAGAGTAGACAGTAAGTCTTACTGAGACAGTATGAGACTACTATCTAATGTTAAAACTGTGTAATGAGATCAGTCGAATTGATAATGAAACTATCAAAAAATCTGGTTCTGATTCCAGACACGGTCACACGGTCAGTCTATACTGCTTCAGTGAGAGCTTGAAGAAGTTCATCAGTTTAAGCTGTTATACATCACAGTTCTTTCAGTGAAGATTTGAAAGTAGTTAGAATATTAGTAATAGCTTGAAGAGAAAGTATTCTAATCAGAGAAATGTGTATAGTGTCATGAATTGTTTCATCATGATTAACTAGTATTTTCAGATTTAAGAGCTGATACTCTTAGTTCATTCAGCAGATATCTGTTATATTGACAGATATATCTTACTCTTATTATAAGAGAGTATCTGTCATCAAGTTTTAACTATCAGAGCAGTACTGTATCACAAAATAAAAAGAGTGTAATAGCTCATATTATTACATCTGTCATTCAGTAAGCTTACAGATGATTATAAAATACTTAAAATTTGTATAATCTGTGATTATCTCAAATTTAAAGACACTTCAGAGTTCAGAGTTTCATTCTTCTAGATAGTGTACTATTATGAGAAGTTTCTTATTATAGATCTCATAATTGCATTCAGCAGAACTTAATTTCTTAGATATAAAGATATATAATTATAAGATAACTTCATTATTATATTATAATATAGCTTCTTCTGTAATGTAGTCAGAGAAGTCAGCTTTAACAACTGTCTCACAGTCAGAATTAAATGTTATTAGTAGAGAGATATTAATGAATATCTTCTTTATCTGTGTGAATACTGCTTCAGCATCTGCTGATTATTAAAATACTGAGTTTTTCTTAATAAGTTCTGTAAGTAGTCTAGTGATATCTGAGAAGTTCTGTATAAAATATTAATAGAAGTTAGTAAATTCAGTGAAGCTTTATACATCTTTCACATGTGTGAAGCCTCTCATTCAAGAATAGCAGAGATCTTCTCAGAATTTATTCAGACTCTCTTATCAACTTCTATGATAAAATCTAAATATTTCATACTTTTGACTTTAAAATCATACTTATCTATATCTATTGGTAGTTCTGCTTCTTGTAGTTATTGTAATACTCTTCATACATATTCTTAATATTCTTTTCTGAACTTATCAGTAAAGATGAGAATATTATTAAAATAAGCAGATACAGACTCATTAAGAAAATATCAGAGTGCTCAGTTAATATACTTCTGAAATATACTGAGAGTATTAGTTAATTCAAAAAATATGACTACTTATTCAAAGAAATTATATTATATTCAGAATACTGTAAGTCACTCATCTTCTTTAATAATACAGATCTTATGAAAAGCAGTTATAATATTTAGCTTTGTAAATCATTGCGCTTGTTTGATATATGCTAGAGTTTTATTGATAAGAGATAAAGCATAGTAATCTTTCTTTATTAATCTATTCAGTTCTTAATAGTCTATACAGAATCAGAGTTCTCTATCTGATTTCTTTGTAAAGAGAATAGAAGCTGCAGTGAAAGAGTTACTAATATATATAAATTCTTTATTCAGCAGATTATTAAGTGTCTTTCAAAGAAGAAGAAGTTTATCTCAGAATATATTATAAAGAGAGTCTCATAGTAGTTTAGAATTCTTATCATTCTTCTTTTTCAGCTTGATACTATGATCCACTTCTGAGTCTTATAAGAGAAGTAGATTTGTAATATTATCTTATCAGAAGACATCTAGATATTCATGATATTATTAAGAGAGTTCTGTATAAGAATCTGTTATTATAATACAGAATAACTTTTCTAGAGCTTTTTTAATATTAGTCAGACTGATAGAGTAGATTATCACATAATTCTACTATCAGTGATCTTGTCAGCAACCTTGTCAGTGACTTTATCAAAAGCTTTTTCAGAGTATTTCATAAGTACTAACAGAGATCTGTGTCAGATTCATAGTCTTGTGAATATTATCTTCATGAATTTGATTATTGTTAGAGAATATCAAACTTCTGTTTTAAGCATTTAATAAAATACCTTGTTCAGATAGTCAGGTGAGTTCTAGTATAAAATTATAGTTAAGATTATTAATCTTATATATATAAAGAAATCTCACTTCTTTATGAATTCTTTATCTCTATTTCTATCTCTTATGTAATTAATAGAGTTAGTGACTCTTGATTATATACAACTATATAAACTGAAGTTTGTGACTACTATTTATAACTCAGCTTAAATACTATTATATATTTAATCTCTACATTTATCTTTCTACTGTGAATACTGCTAGTAGCTATCAGTACATATTATATCAAGCTATGAATATCTGAATAATTATCTGTGAGAACATATTCTTACAAATTTTCACTTCTGAATTTAAATTTATTTTATTGCTTTAAATGACTTTAAATCTCATTTATATATTATCAAAAATCATTACTTCTTAAAAAATTAAAAATAGTCTTAAAAAAACCTTAAAATCTCTAAAAATAGTAACTTTATACTAAGAATGAAACTAAATAACATTAAATAAAATCACTTTCTTATTTTTTCTAAGTTATAGTCTCATTTTAAGATCTGATAAATAGTCACTTTACATGTTTTTTTAATACTTAGTCTCAGCAGGATTTACACTAAGAAATGTATGAGATCAGATTAAATGAAATTAAATGTGAAATTTATAATCTTATCAGTCAGTCTAATTATCTGTGAGTACTTATTCTTACCACTCACATGTTTATTTATATAGTTAATTTGACTCTTTGAGATATAAGTGATTTCATAATTTCAGCATTTAACTTATTAAAATAGTGTGATTTAAAAGTTATTACAATGACTTTTATAATAATAATAATATTTAATACTACATGAAATTGACAGATAAGATGTTAGAGATGAGATATTTAAGAAAAAAGAGAAATCAATTCAAAATATATAGTAATCTTATATAAATAAAATGCAAGGTGATTTGAAGCTAAATGTAATTACTCAATAAAACATGAAAGTGCTTCTTAGCTGTATAAATTCAATCTGACCAGCGCAATTCTTTTGATAGTACTGTTTGTAGAATAGTTGAAGTTCTATTGACAGAGCTATCTACAAAGAATCTAATATAGTGACTGGCCCGTGATAGAGAGGTTGCCACAGCAGCGGCCGTAGCCGGGCGGCCAACAGTTTGTTGTAAATCTCCATGCCTATAAGCTCTTGAATTCTCACTTATTACATAGTGTATTTATGCAATGCATAAATGTGTCATCTTTGCTGTTGGGGAAGAGGAGGTGGATGAAGATGTGAATCCCTTGGCTATTGTAATTGAGTGACAAATCTCATACTTTGCAGATGAAGATGCACTGAATGAGTTTTTGAAATACCTTGATGATAATCCCTGGGTTCGTGTGTTGGAAGTAATTCAGGATGGTTTTAACAAAGACAACCTGTACAGATTATTTTTCCTTTGCAAGAGTGTTGATGATGGTTTTCAAAGTTTTATCTGTGCAATGACGAATTTTGATCCGGCAAAGAGGATCACTGCTCATGAGGTGTTGACACACAAGTGGTTTGAGGGTGTTTAAGGTGGGCAGAGAAGCAAAGACATCAGTACCCTAATCTGCTCTTCTCAACGGGTGACACAGGTGCGCATACGATGGCTATGCAGCAACAGCACAAGTGACCTGAGTTTCCCTGGAACTACGCAAGTTTAGATGGATTGGTGCAAATAGTAAAGCCAGCGCATATGATAATCACTAAATTTGATTTGATATGATTACATCAGTTACACCGTTTCTGCCGCCACATACGCCATATTTTCGGTGGTTTAATGTTATTCTTTCTGAATTTATCTAAATGCCTGTTTTATATCTGTATGTAGGCCATGAACGGTAATCCATGGAATAATATTTTCTTAAAAATTTACTTTTCACTTGACAGGATGAGCAAGAGGGACCAGCAGACGTGTAAACCATGTAACCAACTAATCCGTATGAATTTCGAAATAACAATATATCAATAAAAGGTAAGACGTAAAGACTACAAATATCAATTAAGAGGGATATACAAACGGGAACTATTAAGCGAAAGAGAGAGGGGAAAAATATGAGGCAAAAGTACCTTTGCAATTCCAAAAAGAGCACTCATGAAAGGGAATAATAAGAAAAGGCTAACCGCACCAAATATCACAGGTCAAAAGGGAAGGAGGAAGAGGCATGTGTATGTATGTGAGGTATGTAATGTTTAAAGAAATTCTCTCCGCAATTCTTATTCCAAAGAGAGCAAGCCAGCTACCGCAGCACAATACAGACAAAAAAAAAAAAAGAATGAAAGGGGGGGGAAATTCTTTACATCAACACGATTCCAAGGCCGGCCAAAACACCACAGACAACATAAGCACCCACGCTAATTAATCCCATATTGAACGCGGGAATAGTAGTCGTAAAAGCAGCAGATGAGGGGGACGAACCAGGTTGTCCAGAGGTAACAGTTCCTTTCCCATCCGGGCCAGCCTGCTTTATCAAGTCATCACAGGTGCCCGATGGCTCCTTCGCACTCTGCAGCTGCGCGGCACCGTCGAAATCACAGGCGCTATCGGCTTGACCTTGTTGCTTGTAGTAGGTGTCATAGGCAAACGAGAGCTGGTCGCGTGGGTCGCACATGCTGTATGCGCCGAATACACCATCTTCAGTATCGTGGGCGATGCCGGCGCAGACATCCTCGCCAAGACCGCACACGGTGCCGAATTTGTCACCGAGATCTTCGTCGTCGATGGACTTCTTGGCGACGCAGGAGAGGGATTTGACCATGCAGGCGCAGAGTTCCTGGTTGGGGACGGGGGGGAGAGACGGGTGGGATTTCCATGCGCTGCTGGTCCCGGGGCACTCAGAGAGTTCAGTGTACTCGGCTTTGTACTCGCTCATCTTGACACCCTTGGGGTCGACCTTGGTAATTTGTTCCTTCAGGTTCTTGAAATCAACACGGCGTGTGACCTTGTCACCCTTGAGGTCGACCAAACCTATTATTCTCAGGGTATATTGTTAAATATATTGGATTCCCTAGATATGAAGGGGGAGGGGAGGGGGTGGGTTATATATAAACGTTCAAGACCTACCGTAGTTGTTAGCCTCTTGGAAATACATGTACACGATACCTCCACTGATGACGGGTGTCATCTGAGGGCCGTACATCGCAGCGACATCGGTAAACTTGCGTGGGCGGACTTCGTTGCAGCCATACTCAGCGAAGAAGACGGGGACAGAGTAGGAGGAGAACTCCTTGACAACCTTATCGTAGCCAGACTCTTTGAAGCTAGAGTCACCGCACCACGAGTAGATGTTGTAACCCCAGAAGTCAATAGACTCCTCTTTGCTGCCGCAGTTGAAGTAATCAGCCATATCATCGCGGATATCGGCATCGTCGTTGGTAGCGTAACCGACACCAATGGAGCGGTAACCATTCTGCTTGATATAGGCCTTGGTGTCGCGAACGGCAGCCTTGACGAAGGCACTAGCGTCAGTGTTGGACTTGTTGTTTGAAACCTCGTTGCCGGCGAAGAAGCCCATGACGTTTGAGTAAGGGGCAAGCACGTCTACGACGGCAGTGTAGCGGTTGTAAAGTTCGATGTCCCACTTAGGATCATCACGGTTGATCGAGGTTCTGGGCTCAGACAGGTCAGCGACCACGTAGATGCCGGCTTCCTGGAGCATTTCCATGCACTCGGTGTGGTCCGCCTTGGGATCGATCGCGTAGACTCTGATGATATTTGTCTCTAGTTCTTGGAGGAGTGGAATGTCGCGTTTGCAATTCTCGACATTGGCAAGGGGGTCTTTATAGCCAGTTTTATTGGTAGTGCCATTGCTGGAGATTTCCTCTGTATAGAAGTACACATAACAATTAGATATTGAACCAAAAGGTTGTACATCATGTAGAAACCGAGTATGCTGTCCGCTTACGTTGGTATGCAACACCGCGCATGAAACTGGGATGGTCGTTAGACATAGGTATAAGTCTATGGCATGGAGTGATATACTATTATCATAGAAGGAAGGATTTAGAGACTCACAATTGCTCGCCGCTAGATTTATAGAAGAATTTGGAGCCCTAGAAAAAAGAAGAATCTCAAACCCCCAGTTAGCCATAGAAAAAGAATAAATAGATTTTATTTAAAAATTTAGAGCGGTAGTTAGAAATTGGAATAGAGCTCATTACCTTGATGACAATGGGGTCCAGCTCAGCAGCGAAGGCCGAACCCGCAAGAGCGGCGCCCGCGATGACGGAGGAGAACTTCATGGCGGGAGGATGAAATCAACAACGAATATGTAAGGTAATTAATAGTTATACAAAGGTTAAAACTAAGTTGGGCTAGGGTTAAATGCGAGTTGCGCGAGTGCGTGTGTGTGCGACAATGGGGAGTGAAGGATATTACAGTTGGTAAAAGGGGGATATTCAAGAGAGAGTATTGAAGAAGAGCGAAACAAAAAGAGCGAGAGATAGAAAAAGAAGGAGTCAGGTGGACATAGGGTCCTAACGAGAGACTGGAAGGAATGAGCGAGAAAAGGAAGAAGAAAAGGAAGAAGAAGAGGAAAAGAGACAGCAGATGGGAAGTTGGGCGACGTTGAACAAAGGAGAAGAAGCAAGGGGGAGAAGAAGAGCGGGAGAACAGGGGGATTATGTCAGCCACTTTTTAGCGATAGACTCGGCAATGGTCCATGGTTGGCTACAGATTTGGATGGTACGGATCGGGTCCCGCTGCGGGCTGCCCACTGTCCACTGTCCACTGTCCTCTGGCCCCTGGGAGGAACCTCGGTGAGGCCTTGTTTTGTTAGTTGGAACTAGCCATGCTTCCACCAATCACATGCCCCGTGAGGCGCCAATGCTCAGGCACTGCCTACGTAAGCTTTCTTGCACTACTGTCAACCCTGGTATTAAGATTACACATATATTACACCTCAGCGTGTCTTCAGTCAATACTCCGGAGACAGCGCACATCTGTGGATACTTGCTGAGGGTTACTCCGTACTACAAAGTATAATAATACCTTGCAACTTGGTAGATAGAGTAAATAGGCAATGCTCTCTGCTCAGCGAGATTATATTGCTAAGGAAACATAGGGAGTATACCTACTCATGATAGGTGCATCTTTTAAGTCCTAGTTTATGCACGAGTGGTGTAATTTATATCGATAACTAATCCCTGAAACTTCTGCCTGCCGATTCCGAAACACGCCTCCCAACTGAAACATCCTAATCAACTCAGAGGAGTCAATCATGTCAGTTTATCCAGAATTTCTTGTTTCTTCGCCTCTCTCTCTTCTCTCTCGAGCCTATCAGAAGTTAATGGTGAATAGACACTGTGCCAACCCCTTTTCTTGATCTTCGGATCTGCAATAATTCGTCTGCAGGCTTCTTTCATCTTTATCCCTCACAGACCATTACCTGAATGCTAGGAGCAAGACCAACCCCAGTGCTGAACAACGAAGCTGAGAGGTAGCTATCTATTAACCGCAGTAACTACGGCAGCCTATAATGACATTTGAGTCAAATGAGTTATTTTGTGTTTTTGTACTGTTATTATCTCCCTTCTCTCTATATATTATAGAAAAACCAACTTTTCTTATTCGGCGACACGTCGCCGAATATTAAACGTCAAGATGGCGTTGAGACGGCGCAGAACTTTCTAACATCATCATGACACTACTGTAACGTGACGGAACCGAAGCGGTGGCTAGTCAGCGGTGTTATGTAGGAGTAGTTGTTTGAGAAGCTGTATGAGTGAGCTTGACTATCTTGCTTGAATAGTGAGCTTGTAGACTGTGGTTCGGAAGAACGTACGACCGTCGGATAATAACGCGGCCGCTTCCGAACTACTAGCGTACGCGTACGCTTCTGAACTACTAGCGTACGCGTACGAATGTAAAGGGGGCCCTAGCGGCCACTAATTAATTTAGTGTATGAGATTCAATATATAAGAAGCCGGCGTACGCCTGTAATTGTACGCTGGCTTAAGCAACCTTTGAATCACATCTGGTAGCATGTCTAAAAACCGGTGAGGAGCGCAGGCTTCTTCAGAGTGTGATAATTCTGCCTACAAAGTGATTTATAGTTATCATGCCAGTGTGGTCCTAGAATGTCTCAAAAAATAGTGTATGAAGGGCAGTGAGTGAAAGAGCATCTGATTGATGCTGCTTCACTTGTTGAGGGAAAACTTCACACTCAGGCAAATGCCATGTATGAGACGCGAATGAATGAGGTGTGAGAAAGGGGATGAGAGCAGTGAACCAGATTCAAAGAAGTCTGCTCTCTACTCAAAAGAAGGATAAAAAGGAAGAGTGATCATCACTGAAGTCATATAATGATAACAGAGTGATATAGTGATATAATGATATAGTAATATAATGATACAGTGATATAGTGATATAATAATACAGTGATAATGATAGACATTATATAATTAATAAGAAACCACTGAAATGAATATCTTCTCTAGCTGATATGAATAACATTCTTCTCTGCTATCTGAACTGAAAGATATACAGAACCTTTCAGAGGGTTTACTCAAAGCAGTAAGAAAAGCAGCTGAGACTGCTGAACTGAAATCAAAGCTCTGTACATATATGAGAATTCTAAACAAGATCAAGGCCTTGTGTACACAGTGACAGGCTGAGATGAAGATCAAACAACAATTGACATTCACTGCAGATCAAGTATTCACTATGAAGAGCTTCACTGATGCAATCATCATTATTAATAAGAATAGAGAAAACCAGATCTTAGATCTACAGCAGAAGATTGAACATTTACACAGACAGACAACTACACTGAATCTGAAGATCTCATCATAATTATTCACAACCTCTTCAGAAGTGTATATATTATCAGAGATTACTGTGCAGAATGAGAATCTGAGCATGAAATATATCAAGTCAGAAGATCTGCTGAAGTTATCAAGCTTTAATAGTGACTGAAAAAATGATACTGTAATCAGCTAGCTAAGTCAGATGCAATTATATTATTGAATCAAATGTGAACTCACAGACAGACAGTTAACAGAATTTCAACAAGTCTTAAGATCTGCTGTGTTTCTATGTGAAAAAGTGAAGTCATTATAAATAACTGATGAAAAGATGAATCTCACAGATTCAGAGTAATATTCATTCTTATAAATATGAAATGAGTTTTTCAAGTGAATCTTGTATAACTTTGAGAAAGTGAATATACAAGACAAGTGTTATAAACACTTCACTGAGTGTAGATAAGTGAGTAATCTTATATTATACTTCACACACTTCAGCTTATACTATCTTGTGTTAAATGAAGAGCTTTCAACATCTTTCTGTTTACAGATCTTCATTCATGATCTTACATCTGAGTTGAGAGTAGAATGAAAATGCTTAACCTCACAGTCAGACACAGTAAAGGAAGTATATAACATTCTCATTATACAGAAATAAGTGAGTCAATTACAACAGAAAATACTGCAATCAAGTATATCTCAGTGAAGAACAGATAATCAGACTTCTATGACATAAGCTACACACTCAGATATGATGAATCTAGATCTGAATGTCATTGCTAAAGCACTGAATCTCTCAAAAAAGAAATCTTCTGAGTGAAAACCTTGGTGTTGCAAGTATTGAGCTTGTTTCAACTGCAGATGTTAAAATCATGATGTAAAAGATTGCACTCAGTGTGTGCAGTCAAAAAACTAGTAGAATCAGTGAGCTCAGAGACACTCACTGATATTCTATGAAAAGCCTTCAAAGTGAAAGAGATGCCTGTGTTAGATGACTCTCTGAATTCTATAAATACAAAGAAGAAGCAGGCTTCTGACTGAGATGTAAGTGAGAATGAAGTGAATACTCATCTCAATGCCTTGAGATCTGAAATATTAATGTATAAGAGACACTTGAGTAAGAATTGAGAGATGACTGCAAAAGTATTAGTGAATACAGAAGCTTTGATATAATATATTGATGATTATATAATCTGAAGATTGAAAGAAGTCTGCTGAGTGAAGAATTCTCAATGTATAAGATTATCTGATAACTGATATTTGATATCACCTGCAAAAGTAAGAGTTCCCTTGCACTTCAGAGAATGATCTTGCTATATTTAAGTGTGAGAGCTGCAGAATGTGAAATATGATCTTATTCTCAGACTTGATTGATTTTAAAGGTTTAATTCACAGATTCAATGATGTACATGTCATATGCAGTTGACTGATAGAAAGAAAATGATTCATATAATTCTATCAACTGATATGAGAAGAACATTTCACATCTCTGATATAGAAGAATTAAATCTGCTTATGCATCAATAGACAAAGAGAATGATTCACAAGATCTCATCTGAAAGCATTCTGTATGTCATACAGAACCTGGAAGTGAAGGAAATCAAGATAAAAGATATATAGAAGAATAAGTGTATGAAGAAGCTTCTGAAGAAGTATGAGAAGATCTTCTGAACAGATCTTTCACCAGAATTGCTGCTGAAATGAGGATTTGTACATGAGATTGACACAGAGGATGCAAAACCAGTCAATCAGAATGTGTATCCTCTGTCACAAACACATCTTGAAGAACAGAAGTGTTAGATCACAGATCTTCTAGAATGTGGTCTCATATGATCTTCATCAAGTATGTGAGGCTTTCCAGTTCTATTTGTGAAAAAGGCAGATGAAGAGTGATGAATGTGTATTAATTATCAAGCACTCAACAAGCTTACAATCAAGAATGAATATTCACTGCTATGAATTCAACAACAGTTGAATATGATTGAAAATATCTGATATCTATCAAAGATTGATCTTCTCTCAGAATACTGACAGATCTGTATAGATGAACTGTCAGTTCTGTGAACTGTGTTTAATATGTAATAAGAGAAGTTCAAATTCCTAGCAATGTCATTCAGTCTGATAAATGCACCTGTTATCTTTTAAACAATGATGAATACAATTCTTTATAAACAGAATGAAATCTCATGTCTTGTATATCTTGATGACATTCTAGTCTTTTCAAACTCATACAATGAATATCTGAAGCATCTTGATGAAGTGCTTACAACTCTGACAGAGTATAAGCTCTACATCAAATCAATCAAGTGTGTGTTTGAAATGAAAGAGTTGAAGTTCATGAGACATGTAGTGAGTGATAACTGTATACACCTCATTCTGAAGAAATTGAATGTCATAGTAAATTGACCGCAGCTGAGAAATGTACACCATGTACAACAGTTTCTTGAGTTGATCTTATACTATTGCAGGTTCATCAAGAATTTCACATGAATATCTGCATCACTCTCAGATCTCTTAAGAGAAACAGATGCAAATCTGCAAAAGAAGAAGTTTCATTCAATCATCTGAAATGCTGTGTGCGAAGAGGCTTTTCTCACACTGAGAGAATGTGTAACAATATTCTCAGTGCTTATTCAATCAGATTGTGATAAACCTTTCTACATCAAGACAGACACATTCAAATGAGCTATCAGAGACGCTCTTCTACAGATGAGCAAGGATGACAAGCTGCACTCAGTGACATACAATGATAGGAAACTATCAGGCACTGAGCTTAATTACTCAGTGCATGAAAAGAAATTGCTAGTGATCAAGCATGTGCTGATGTTATGAAATAGATATATTGATAATGAGTATATGACAATGATGATCACAGATCATGAAAGCCTCATCTATCTATAATCAATGACAAAATCTTTCAAATGCTTAGTACATTGAATCTC